AAGCAGAAAGTTCAAGAATAGTAACACAATAGCTTTTTGGTAGAATACTGTCATCTCTGCTTCCAAACAGAACAGATTTACCATGGTAATGGGAATCACCCTAGCATGAGTGAATTCATTTTGACTACTAAAATACATCTTTGACAAGATGATTATACGGGATCAGTTGCAAGATTATGTTGCTCATCTCACAGCTGAAGGACAAGTGGATGTATTGAGTTAACCCTACCTCAGGCATGCTGGGCTGTGCATCTCATTTGTTCTCTTTTATTGTCATAAGCACTGARGTACTATAATCTGTGTTTCAATAGCTGGCCTTAACCCACATGGCCTTAATGAGGCACAGTTATTTATGTGCTTGTTGTGATTCAGAATGTATTTACAGTACCAGTAATACTACCAGATATCAGAACATGTGTGGAATAAATCAGTACCTTTTTCCTCTTCTTTCCCCCTTTTCTTTCCTTTAAAACATCTTTATATTCCACGCCATCTAGTGCTGATGATTCCCTCTTAGCAAGGGAATGATGCATGGGGGAGATACCCTGTCACACTCACTGCAGGGATGGTCTTCAATACAGGTCCACAGTTTAAAAATTAAAAATGTGAMAAGATACTATTTGAAGAGCATCATTTATATATCTATAAATATACTGACAAATGTATAAACTTAAAATATGGAAGTTTTTCAATTTTAACAGTCATGTTGATTAAGCCACGGGACTCAGGGTTGATTCTCGCACACAGAACAGTCTGCAAACTGTTAAATCTTTATATATGTACAAATATGCCAGGGTAGATATTTTTTCTGAGAAAATACAAAACCACATAATGATTATTTGTGTTGATGTGCATTTGGTTGTTTTCATGATTTGCTTCAAAATGAAACCATTAAAACCAGCAAATAAGGATATTAAGCCTGTGATGAGCCTTTTAGAATCCATAGAGAAGGGAATGTGATTTAAATTAATAAAGACCTGTCTAGCACATAAGCTATGCTAACAAAACAATGATATAGACCTTTTTTTTTACCAGGATGAGTTGGTTTACAGAAAACATTAGGCATCTCAGTTAAACTGACAAATTATAACACTTATCCCTACAGCTACTGAAGTGATTTTCTGGATTGACATTTGCTTGTTGGTATTATAGCCCTCCTATTATAATCTGTTATCTTAATCCTCAGATAAATCATATTAAATGTCGATTACTTCATACCTGTGTTTTGTTAATGAGCTTTTCATGGGGAGGTGGCATTACCTGATTGTAAGCTAGGCASTTTTAATAAGGTGCACCATTGTATCAAGCACAGAAAAGAGGCAGATAAAGCTACTTGCATCTCCATGTATTTTGGGATTCCCTGAAATAGATTTCTGTTAATTTTGTGTCACAAAATCCTTGCTGCACTGTTATGCTTTGAAGAGCATTGTGCAGGACCAGGAGTTGGACTCTGTGATCTCTGTGGGTACATTCCAACTCCGAATAGGCTGTGATTCTATGAACACTGGTGTACACTTTTCTGACACTCCACAGATAAAATAGTCAGAGAGTAACAGACATTCACCATTGAGTAAATGTTTCTTCACTGAATCCCTGAAGCACAAAAGACTGAGCATTTACACAAGGGTGTCTAACAGCAGGGAATTTATTGCATATTTTCTGTACMTTGATGAAACAGGGAGACTTATGTTCTTAGCAGTTGTTTTCTGGGGAATAAATACAAAATGTAATGGGAATGTCAGTGTGTATCTCTAGTTACTATCTTGGTTCTCCTCCATACTCTTCTCCTCCAAAACAGCACATTTATTTCATATCAGATAYATCAAAATAATTCTGCCATATCTTATCATGCCTTTGCAGGAAAGTTATGGCTATGATGACTGCAAAGAATTGCACAGTGTAGAGCTTGCTTTGCCAGCTATTTCACTGGTCAGGGTTACAATTTCCAGGAGGGAAAGCCCTGGAAGGGGTTTCAGAAGCTCATAAGTTTGAAGATCTCTCAAAGCTTTCCTAGGCTGTCACTGTGGGTTGTATCTTTGCATTACTGATGGTAGCAGGGTGCACACCCTCATTCCTACTGGCTTAGCAGTATTTTCCTATTCTTTAGCTTAGGAATTTTTCTGTACTTGAGGAGTTGGGATCCTGACAATGGATAGTGAGATGTGAGCAGTTGGCACTGCAAAATGCAGATGGTGGCAGTAAAATTCTCATTTTTTGAAGCAGCTCTTCAGGAAGCAGACACAGCCTGCACTGTTTTTGTGGTACAGTTGGGTGGGTTGCCAAGGTGTTCACTGTGGCAGTGGAGGATGCAGGAAGCCCAGTCCAAGTTAGYTACCTATTTGTGGGTGGCTACACTTTGCCAACCTCCCTTTTCCTCCAGGCAGGTAAACCCAGTGAAATCGTGTACCTCRGGGCCAAATGTGTGCTTATTTTGTGCCCTTGTCCTTTTCAGTATGCTGGAGAAGCCCTCACTGCAGTAACATGGGCCAGTGTCACTCATTACTTTACCTGTTTTATCTTTTGTGAAATTGAGCCTTTAGCCAGAATTGCCTGAGCTGCTGCTCCAGCAGTCAGTTAACTGTGAGGCTCCTCGAGCTCATTTCTCTCAAGTAATTTGATTCCCACGTGCTTCCTGAGATTGCTTTCTTGCTGAAAGTGGGAAAGGGGGGATGGGGGCGCMCATGGGAGCAGACCAGAAATGTTATGGCAGGCAAATGTAGGTTAGAGATAAAAACAATACAAAATGTTTTAAAAGATCCCATCTCACTTTATCTTCCTTTACTCCGGTCCTATAAACCAAAATGTTTTTCTGTTTGASAATCAGAGACATGGGGGCTTTTGTGCTGGTGCAGGGTATGCAACAGCAGGYTAATTCCGTCCTGCCTCTGCATAAAGCCAGTAAGATAATCCTTTYCTTAAAATTACCAGAAATGTGTGTAAAATGTTGATTAGATGATTGGTTTTGGGGGGTAGCTGWTCATAAAAGGCTCTGATGGATTTCAGCATATTTTCTGAAATCGTACACAGAAYTCAAGGTTGTTTATTTAGGTTGCTGAACTGTTTCCTTTACATTGTGGTGACTTAGGAGTAATTGAACACCAGTTTTCTAGATAAGAKTCTATTTAAGACTGGTTAGTATGGGAGCAGTTTCTAAGTAGTGTACAATTTATGGACAGATTCTATACAATCCCTAGTGCTTTATCACCGTTTTGGCCRAATACATTGCTGCAAGAGAGTGAAAAACAAGCCTGAAAAGTTAATCTTGCTGGAGGGAGAATTGTTCTGGAAATAAACCATTCASTGCATAAACAATAGCATATCAGTTGTCTGAAATACACATTTGTCCCTCTGCATGGTGTTCATTGTAAGTTCAGGCAGAGCTGCCGCACTCAGGGTGTGGAATTTCTATGGGAAAAAGTCCCAGTTTGTTAGCTAGGATATTACTAATTTGAGCAGACAGTCTGCTTAGGGTTCTGTTATTTTATATTATGAAAATCAGRCTGTTGCAAGTCCTCACTTTGGGTTTCTTTAGTGGTCGTTAGTTTGTGTCATGAGACATATGCCTTGATGATATCAGCAGCATTATTAAATGTCATAAGAATATTTTCCCAGCAGCAATAAAGTATCCACAGTAACATTTGTAAGGTCTAAGCTAATTTTTCATCTTGAACTTTGTAAGTGTATTTTTAAAAATGTAAAAAATTTGCTTTATTGAGAAATGTTTTCAAAGGAAGCACATGCTAAATGGTGGTATTATCCAAAATTGACTATTTTACTTKCTCTTCTTGCTGAATGGCTGTGATCTATCACTTCAAAACAGTACACATGCTGTGGAGCAAATCTTTGCAGAGTCAAGTTACAGGGGGTGATGGTTTGGGAATATTATTCAGTGAAGGGATTTTGTTTTGTTTTGTTTTTTTTCTAATTTTACGTTGCACAAATGCTGAAAAAGGGTTAAAGACGATATAAGTAAAAGAGCTGAACATTTGTAATTTTTTGCAGTATCTGTGTTTCAGTTTGTGGTGCAAGGGTGATATATGATGTAAGAAATGCTGTGTCCACACAGCTGTATGCCAAATTTCATGACTCTCTTTCTAACCCTGTTGCTTGCTTGTCCACTGTGCCTGCAGCTCCACCTCTTCAAAGCCTGTTCTATTAATCCAACCTACTGAGAGCGATTCATACAGCTTATGGGGTTTTATTTTTAAATCCTCACAGAAATGATTTGCTGCCCTCAAGTTAAGAATTTAAAGGAAAATTAAATTAAGGCCGCCTAAGTAATGAAAGCATCCTTGGGTTTGATAGGTAGAAACCATCAAAGCAAAAAGTCTGTATCCCTGGAAAGATTTTTTATATTGTTTAGTGCTGGAGGGAGTTACTATTGCTAATATATCACACAACATAAGGCCTTAAATTCATACACTTATGCTTCRTGAATTCTTTAATTTCCAAAGTTGTTTGTTATGATTCAGGTCATAAATTGAGAGCTTTCCAACTCAAATATTTCTATCTTTATAAGACCTGTGGCATTGGGGTCATAGTGTGGTATAGTTTTGCTGACAGATTAAAGAAAGAAAGCCTTAGGAAAGCCCTTATGCCTCAAGAAATGTCTGAATTTTTCTTGCTGCCATGAAATGTAAGCCTGGTGTTTGTTACTGTGATATATGTGTTGAATGGTTGCCTGCCTACTATGACACGTGTGTAGCTCTCTATTGTTTCTTCCTCTCTCAAGCAGTGGACCTTTCTTAACTAGAGCCAAGTAAAAAACATAAAAATAAATCCTATAAAGGATTTTTGGGTCTATTTTCAATTTATTTAGCTGGGGRAAAATGTAAATAGTGTTGCCTAAAACCTTTATGCAGATCTTTGAAGAAGGGAGTTGACTAACTGTAATTCCAAAATACTTTAAGGACTAATAAGAAAAAAAGATCAGAGTTTTGTTTTCTTATATATAAATGAACTAAATGCCTTTTATTTATCTCTCATGTCTTCTTTTTTTAGGTTTTCCAAATGAGCCTGCTGCTGTCATTGCTCTTAACACTATTAAGGAMTGGTTAAGCAAGAATCACAATGAGGTATGGAATAAAATAAATTTGATTTCAAATTTCTGTTTAAGGTTATGTTCTTTGACTCCAAAACTGTGAAAAGAGTAAACACAGGCTTGAGCCTTGAAGTCTTTTATTATTCAGTCTTAAGACCAGTGAAGTCAGGTCAGGACAATATAGCCAGGGGAAGATGGCTATATCAAAAAGCTACACTAGAGTTCAAGGGAAATACCTTTATTTGAAACCATACTGTGCATTTCCTGTGCATTGTAATCTTTCCTGGCAAARCAGAAGACTATTCTCTGCCTAAGCTGTTTCTGAGTGTCAAAGTTTTCAGATAATAATGAGGAGATTCTTGGAAAGGAAATGTGTAYAGCAGTTGTCATTGGATACGGCCATGGAAGGTCGATGGTGTTCCAGAGGTCACTTTACTGTAAAGAACCGTAGGATCCTCTTTTCTATTTTCATTAATTTTTGGTTTGCTTACAGTAAAGTGTTCACTTTCTCTGAAACATTCAATAAATATGTGAATTTTTAATAGTATCGGTGAYCTTCCAGTGGCACAGTAATAGTCATTATTTGCACAAGACAAAAAATGCTTTTAACAGAATGATCTGCATCTCTCCCCTTTCTGCTGTGTTCCTAGTGTTGGATTGGAGAAGTGCAGCAAAGAAGTGACAAAACAAATAAAATAATCATGTCTTAAACTGACAGTCTGTTTCCTTATGATGACAGCCAGTAGATTGTAGGCAGTTTAGAGTTGTTCAGTATTTTGTCTGCAAACATTGAACAAAGCATCCAGTGGAGAAGCACTGCATACAGGGACATAATTAGTGGTATTTTTCCTCTAGCAGTATATTCAGGGAGCTTGTTGTTTCCCAAGATTCTGATATGTGAGGTATGAATTTAGTGGGTTTATGGGATTTGGTTTGGTTTTTTGCCAACTTTGAAATTGAAAGGAAATAATATGTTGAGATTGGAGTGGTAAATAGAGGTTTTCAAACCTGGAAGTTTGAAGGAAGGAAGGAAGCTGAAGTCTTATGCTGTTTGATGCACTTGAAGACATATGGGTGGTAAAATTATTGCATGGCACTGATTATGTCGATTCAGAGCTGTTCCCCAAGAGTTTTTGTTCATTTTTGAAGGAAGTGGAGTATTAGATTTCTGTCAAGATACATGTTGAGGGTTTGGTTATCCACAGCTTTGTACTTTCTCACGTGAAGCTTACCCTGTTCCTAAGGTTTTTCCACGATCTACAACGGCTTGGGTTTTAGACAATGGCATACTAACATATTTGGCATGTCATAAATAGGACAGCAGCAAAATAAAGATACTTAATTTTACTGAAGACAGCAGTACCTTATACAGTAAAAGGGAACTTTGGGAAGTGTACCATTACTGGATTGCTGTTCTGTAATGCGTGTAGCAAGGTGAGCACAGTTATCTGGTTTAAAAGAACTGATGTTGATATGTCATGCCAGGCATCAATCTGATCATTTTATATTGTTATTGAATCACAGAATGGTGTGCATTGCTAGGGACCTTAAAGTAGATCCCATTCTAACCCCTTCCTTGGGCAGGGATGCTGCCCACGAGAGCAGGCTGCTCAGGGCCCCRTCCATCCTGGCCTTGAACACTTCCAGGGATGTGACAATTGCTGCCTGGATTTKGTGCTTTAAATAGTAATATTATACATTACCTAAGCTTTTCCCCAAAGCAGCTCATCATGCAGCAATGGAATTCAAATTATTTTCTGYGCTTTAATACAGTCTCTTATTGCACACAGCCCTATGATATAGTCCTCTATACAAAGTTCTGTCTTAAAGACAGAGCAATTCCCGCTACACCCACTGGATATTTAAATTCACTTTTTSTAGTCTGGGAGCAAAACCTCTAATGATTTGGCACAGGGGCAGCTTTTCAGAGTGCTGTCCACATTTCATTCCTGTTATCATTGACCAAACGTGCTCCCCTGGTACTGCCTGTGCTGGCAAAATGAGTTGGTGCATCCTGCTAACAGACTCCTGAAAACKAGAGGCCCCCTGCACACAGAGTTAAATTCATCAAAGTCAGCTTCTTTCCCTCAACCTTTGTGCTCCAATCTGCCTTGCCTGTGAGAAGGTTCAGCTTCTTTAATCCCAAAGGTGTCTGGCAGCCAGTAATGCCCTTGGACCTAACCATTCACTCAGGTCTCAAACTCTTTGATTGTAGAATGTGATTTGACTGGGTGAATTTAAGAAGTTTTAGTGCAAGATAGATTGTGTGTCCCAGGGAATCTGCCTCCATAACAATACACCTGGCAAAGGCAATTAGGTGAATAAGATGGAAAGTCGACAAATTTCCAAGTGTTTTGTTGTGCTCTACAGCACCCATGTCTCTTCTACCTTCCAGCATGCCAGGAATGTGTGACAAATTTGGCAAAGATAAGGCAATATTGTTGTTTTCACCTCTCTGCCTTCCTGCAGTACTTCTTTCCTTTGATGCTATAATGAAGATTTTATCCACATTGATATTAATTCAAAATAGAAATAAATCAGTTGCTATATTCCTTATTCAGCCCAGGGGTCTGAGAATGTAACTTGAATGACTCCTGCAAGTTGTGTTAGAGTCCTGCGACTTTCTCTGTCATAGTATTTAAAAGACAAGTGATTTGCATTTAATAAAAGGTTTTCTTATCCAAGCCCATGGTTGTGCTTGACCCCTCAGGTGTTTGTTTAAAAAGTTATTAGCATGCTTAACTCTGATGTCACTCAGATGAATGTCTCATTACCATGCAAATGGAGTTGGCGTTTTTCTGAGGTTAATTGTTACAAAGCAACAGAGTGATATTTCCATTGTCATTTACAGCCACCATAGTCCAGCAGCCTAAAACTCAACTACATGGAGTTGTCTGGGGAAAACAACCCGATTGTAAGCAGTGGTTTGGACTCAGTTGTGTGTAGCAGCAGCACCGTTCTGCTCTTGAAATGCAGCCCTTAGTCAAACTAATCTCTGGCCATGCTTTACACCAAGGTCTGCTGACTTGCAGCCAGAGGGCAAATCTAGTTTAGAAGCTGGTAAATGGTGYTATGCTGTGAGCATGGAAATCCCTTGGAGCCTCAGTCAGCAGTAGTGGTTAATTTACTGCAGACCACCTAGGCTATCTCCTTAGCAAACTGTGTTTTCACATTTCACAAAGTGCTCTGGAGGTTTAATGGAATTCTTCAGAGCACAAAATAGAATTGGAGACCACTCTTTAGGAAATTTTACCCTGGGATTCATTTAAAAATGCACATTAAGTTCTTTGAACAGGTCAGAATGTTTCTTTCTGGGATCATTTGACAAGGTTTGAGGTGCTGCCACCTGATTGCCCGTAATGGTATCTCAAAAACATTGTAACAGCTTTAAATACTGGACCCCTTACTTTATTGGGGACGATGGGGAGAGGTGTATCTTTGGATTTTTGTGGCAGATATCTARRAAWGTTTGCAGTGATAGAAATTATCTGCTTTTACTTTGCTATGTTTCTCAAAAAGGTGGAAAAAAGAGAATCTCATTGTATGCCTTGCCATACAGTACACTGCCATGAAAGCCTCAGGACTTTTTCACTCTCAAGAAAAGACTTTAATTTAACAGCACATTTAGTTCAAAGTATTGTTCTTTCTCTTGCACAACATCTCACATTTATTACGCACCCAGTAGAACAACAACCAGGGAAGTGTGATGGCAGTGTATGTGCCATTGGAATAACTGATGCAAATTGAAAGCACATAAATGGGAAATAAATCAACGCATTTGTGATTCCTTTTCATTAGATGCATTGCTGAAGAGAGACTTTTTCTCATTTTGCCTGAAGTACATTAGATTTAGGTCCCTGTGTTTTAGCAGGTAGTTATGTATCAACCCACAGCCAAAAAAAGTGAACATTTCCAGCAAAGCAGGGTGAGCCAAATCCCGGTCCAGTTGAAATGAGTGGAATTCTGTTTTAATGGGGATGGGGAGGTGGTCAGGATCACACTTGCTGTACTCCTCCTGACAAAAATATTCACAAGGAGATCCCTGTTTGTCTAGATAGGCACACTCCAACATGGGTGCCCTGCACCTATGCTTCCTTTTGTACTGTGCTCTGTCCAAATATGATATATGGGCCATTTTCCACTGCTGAGGTAGCTAAAGGCAGGATATCTCATGCACCTAAAATGGTRCTGGGTACTGGTGCCCACTTTGGAGAGAGATGTTGTGATGGCCAGCTGGGAGAGCAGAGCAAAGGGAGCTGCCACCACTCTCTATTTCACAAAGCAGGCTTCCCAAAAGATCGTTTCACTATTAATTTTATTTTGCTTTTAATTTCTTCCCCCCCCCCCCCCATTTTAGTGGTCTCAACAATTTAGTTCTATCTCTTCATTCTTCAGAGACGATTAACCAAAGTGGCATCTTGAGATGAGGTCTTGTTTTTATCTCTCCAGCAGGATGCAGATGGAGACAGTGTGTCTTGGAAATGTTGCCTGATGCAGTTCCATTTAGTGTAACCTCAGTTAGGTTCCCCTAGGGCAGAGCAACAACTTTCAGCATGTATTCCAGAAAGTAACTAGCTGACAATATTTAATTAATGAAARCAAGTTAAAAAAACCCCAAACATATATATTAATGCAAACAACTCTCCTTGARACAGTATGACTTTTAGTTTTGATTTATTAGTTTTCATGTTTACAGTTTTACAGTTGTCAACAAAATGTGAAATTTTGACAAAAATATATGTTTTTGTGCTTAAGGTGATATTTTTTACGGCAMGTTTGGGCTTGTGGTGACATGTATTTATTTAAAAGAGTATTTATTACTCAGAAATAAAGCTCTGAAAATGCAGGTTTCAATTGAAGCCACTGACAGATCGTCAAGGACAGTAAGGGTGCCGATAAAAATTCATCCGGCTATTTTGGTCGCTCTGATATGCCAGCATCACTTGATTAATATAATCTCCTCCCCTCCCCCAGCGCCGTTCTCTTGGGTAGGTTAAAAAATGATCTCCTTTCTATTTCTACATTCTAATTAGG